CCACAGAAGGAAAAGCTCGTTCTCGCTCACTTTATTCGCTTCCTTTTTCCCGGTAACATTGTAACAAATGAATTTGTGCACGACCGCGGTGGCTAAGTCCTCGATTAGGCCGTTGGGCATGCCGCCGGAATCCCACTTCGTGTGCGGGGAAAGTTCTGCCCAACACTTAGGAGCGTCGAAATCAAGGGCCTTGTGCCTCGTCCCGGAGAAGTTGAAGCCACACACTCTCTTCATAACCGCGTTGTCCACCGTGTACTCCTTCCCCCAAAACCGGCAAGTGAAGTACTCGTTCCCATCGGCAAGCACGAATGAGCTAAAGAACTCTAACATTAAACCTCGATAGGACGGCTCTTCGATTTTTGCATACTCGGTAAGGTTGAGGACCTTGAGGTACTTCATCACGTCCTCGAGAATGCCTAAGTCATTCAAGAGGTTCCAGTCCACCGCCTTAGGCCGCACCACCTCTTTTTGCGAAAGGCGGGAGTACGTCTCTCCTTCTTTCCGGGAATAAATCGGGAAAGGGGCATCGAATTGGTCCGAGAGATCATCGTCCAAAAGAGCTTGTCGGGAGGAGGATTCGGTCGCCTTCCTCTTCTTAGCCAGCTCGGATTGAGCGGCTTTCTTCTTTGTAGGGCGAATCGGGGTCTTTCCCATTTCTAAAGTCACTCGGGCAATTCGTCGAACACCTTGAGTGCCCAAATTTGGAGATGAAGCAGAAGTAGAAGAAGATATTGGTGGGAACCCACGTTCTATCGTTCAATTGCCAACCAATCACAACAACACGAATATTCGGATTAACGTCTAAAAACACGGTTACCGGAAGTAGAAGAGTCCCGAGTATGTGTTGCAAATCGGACGGAGAGCTTGAGGTGGTGGTGTCGGTTGGTATTGGTGAGGCGCTGAGGGGGGTCGGAGCGGACCGACGTGACACCGGCGATAGTCGCCGAATCGGAGGACGCCGGTGAGGAGCTCGAAACGACGGACGGAAGGTAAGGTTTCCGAACTCAAAATCGCAATAGGTTGCAATCTCGTGAGATGACCCCGAAGTGACGAGCGCCGGAGTTCGGACAAGAGATCGCTCGAAAATTTGCTCAGATTATGTGTTGAGGATTGAGGATGAGATTTCTCAAATTCGGGTAGCAGGTGTTAGAGAATTTGGGAAGAATGGAATGCCCCAAAAATCTGTTCAATTCCCCTTTAAAACGCGGTACCCGCGGCCGCGACAATTTGAAGGCCGCGACTTAATTTGTTCGCCGCGGCCGCGACTTCATCCCGCGGCCGCGGACTTTCGGCTCTGAAGTTGCTGTCACTCTTGCCCAATTTTAGTCGCCGCGGCCACGGCGAAGAAAAGCTCCGCGGCCGCGACTTGACTCCGAGGCCGCAAACTTATCCCGCGGCCGCGACTTTTTGAGTCTGAAGTCCGATAGCTGGTTCCTGCAAAATGATCACCGCGGCCGCGGCTAAGGACAGCCCGCGGCGCGACCAGCAATTATTATTTCTTTTTTTTTTTTTTTAAATAACAAGAAATAGAAGAAACTAAAACGAATACACAGCAGTACAAAGGATACTCGGTTTAATGCCGGGAGCTCGGTATAAGTCTCGGTCACGCATAAATAGGGTCGCCGAGACTGACGGTCTCGACATGCTTCTTTCCGAATTCGCCTTCATAATACGGTTTCACTCTCTGCCCGTTAACCAAGAATAAATTGTTGTTTGCCGGATTCAGCAAACGGACAGCTCCAAATGACAACACCTCATCAACAATATACGGCCCACTCCAACGGGACTTGAGTTTTTCGGGAAAAAGACGAAGGCGAGAATTAAAGAGAAGTACCTTCATCCCGGGCTCGAGGTTCTTTCGAACAAGAGTGGCGTCATGAAGCCTTTTTGTCTTCTCCTTGTATATTTTGGAATTCTCGTAGGCTTCGTTTCTCCATTCTTCTAACTCCGAGAGCTGCCATCCTTTCTCGTCCGGCAGCATCAAGATCGAAATTCATCTTTTTGATTGCCCAGAATGCCTTGTGTTCGATCTCAACTGGCAAATGGCATGATTTCCCGTAGACTAGCCG